TATATATATATATATATAACCCAAATTATCAGGCCTTCGCTTGAATGTCCTGAGAATTTCATCAACGTAACATCTACAATCTGCGACTGTTATGTACGTTCATGTAGTTCTGTGTGTGTATAAGCAGAGTAATATGCATTTGTTTTTATATAAAATGGTTTTCATTGCGCGTATAATATTACTGAGTTAAATTGAGTGGTACAATATACGGTATGTTACGGACAAATTTTTTTCTTGTCTACTTTCCATTGGAATTAAAGATTTTTGTCTTCAAAGTGCACTCATAACATATAGGAACGGCGGTTTGTTTTGGATATGTCTGTAAAAATGGAAAAATCTGATATGTGCGTCTGTTTATATCAATTTGATGGACCTTTCAATGGATATATAAACAAAAAGACTTCCAAAATGATGGACCTTTAAATGTATATATAAACAAAAAGACTTCATCTTCACGGTAAATAATAAACTATGCGTGTACTGAAGAGAGTGTAGAGACAATGGAGCTGTCTAGAACACAGGTTCTTACCTTCAACCAGACTAGTCAACTCCTTCGCCTATACACATTCTGTATATACATGACATCGCCAACATACAACAGGTTCGGCGATCATAGCAAATTGAGAGATACAGTTTCACAAACTTTGGTAACCCGCAGTAAAGGTTTTCATTTTCAGTGCACAATTGTTTCATATATGATGGGTATTTCGGTGACATGCCGGTGGTAGAAGCAAGTAGTAAGATAATGTTATTCGCAGCAATCGGTATAGTTGCGCCACCTTCAATACAAATAGCTTTCGACGCCTGCTTCTATTATGAAGGCAAGCAGATCTCGGAAGCAATCAATAGGTGTCAGTTGTAGCGCTAGTCAAGTCCCATACCAACTGCAGCACCAATAACCACCTATTCTCATACAGAGGCTGACGGGTACGATTATCAGAACACCGTTTTTGGATCGTACCGTACTAAGAAGGTCGAGGATGAGACGCCGAAGGATGTGGCGGTGATGTACGACGTGCTTTTCAAGGGGCATGAGGTATGGACCTTTATTAAGCAATTGTTTAGGACATGAGGTATATGCCTTTATAAGCAATTGCTTATGAGCTTCATCTGTTGATTATGTCTAAATCAAATGTCTGCATTGAGTACTGCGCTGTACTAAGCAATTGTGTATGAGCGTTATCTGTTGCGTATGTCTACCTCAAAGGTCTTCAGGTGTACTGCTGAGTACTGCGGTTTTAATTTCAGTGGGCGTTAAGCCACGGGGATGTTAGTTTAAAACAAGGACCTATCTATGTCTCCGCCTATTAAGTATGTGTAGCAATGGCGTGTACTACTCTATTCGACATACTCAAAACCGTGATTCATGCGCACACACACAACCCTCCTCGCATCCCCACGCACTCTCACAGACACAGCCATGGGCACTTAACATGCCTGTTAGGGGTTGTATATGTAAATCTGAAACTTCTTGTCATCTTCGAACTCTCGTCATTTTTACTTGCATATCCTCTCTTATATTCCACACATACGAGAAATCCATTCCATACCTTTCTCACGTCTCACTTACAGCTATTTGACATCTACCCTCCATCGTCCCCGCGCATAGTTAATCACTTACAAATAGTACTTCCATTTAGATTTCACCTTTTGACACTACACAAATCGTGCTCAGAATAGCGCTCATTACTATCCGAATCTCGCCTTTGCTTACTTGCACTACTTCAAATATACTGACTTACACTTACTTGTACTACTTGCACATATTACTCACATCTTGTTTATACATACCTTTGCTACTTCCACCCCTGAACAGCCGGCACCCGTTGCCTCCAGCTCTGGGTCTGGCCAAAGTGCTCGGAATAAATTCCGGTCATCTGTAAGTACAGACACATGTCCGACTGATTTCAACATGAAGGTTTACTTAATTACAAACTTGTTTGCTTATGCTTATAGATAGAT